CTGCTCTGTTGAATCTTAGCTGAAATCTTATTTGGTTTGTAACTCTGCTGTGTGTCAGATAATGTTCCATTGCAGATGAAGAGTCACAATAACGTGCCTGAAAAGTGTTGATCAAACCACACACTAGAAAGTGAAGAGACGACGACGTTTCGGTCCGTCCTGGACCATTGGTTTGATCAACAATGTTCCAGTGGTCTGTCAGGCATTTCTCCACAGTGTTGACATGTCCTCTCATCTTCTGGAATCTGTAAGCCTATTTCCCCATGCACATGGGTATCCAAGCCTGATGCGATGTAAGTGTACTACTGTTGGTCTACTGCTCCTTTCATTAAAATAAGTGGTTCTTAGTTGGTGGAATTCTTGTACCAACCCAGAGATGATTATGTTGCAACTGCTGTGTTGTGGGCACTGTACATCTTCTGTATTGCTCTATTTCTAATTACTTTCTTAATCTGTGATAGACTCTGTGGTATGTAAATGTCTTCATTTCTTCTCTTAGTTGCAAGTTTTGCAGCTTCGTCTGCAATGTCATTCCCTATTATTCGCACATGACTTGGAACCCACTTGATAAGCATCCGACGGCCTTGACGTTTGAGTGTTTGGATTAATGCTATAACATTTATGATCAGATGGATGTTGTCCCGTATGTGTTATTGTTGCAAGATTTCAGTTGCCAGTTCTCGGATCTGTATGTATGATAACATGTTGCAGCAGGCTTCAGATAAGCTATGGTAGGATAACAGCTCTTGCTTGCAGTTTCCCAAGGTACGTCATTTGACAACCATTATGAACTCTAGTCTTGGTTAAAAAAAAAGAGAGAAAGAGAGAGAGAGAGAGAGACAAGGGCAGACAGACAGACAGACAGGCAAACAGAAAAGAAGAAAAATAATTGGTTAATGAACCTAAGGGGTCTTAAAATCGAATAAAAATAAAAACATAAAATAAAAGGAAAAACAAAACCCTATTGTATTTCTGGAAGTTGAGTTTAAGGTTTTGGGCCCCGCTTTTCAACCTTCAGTCTGTTGTTCTACAGTTTCACGAGCCCTTCGTAATCTGTCATATTGTGAATTCCATTTATTCACTAATCAAACAGCGAACAAAATATTTAAGGTCTTTCTTGCTCATTCTTGAACTTAAATACAAAATGTTTGTCCCTGCTTTTTTTGTACCACTAATGCTAAATAGGCTGTCTTTGTCTGTTATGTCTCTTCTTTTCAAAATTTTGCATATGGTGATCATGTTTCCCATTATTCAGCTCTCTTTCAGTAACATAACGTTTAATTGTCTCTCATTATAGATTATACATTACTGGTCTGGCAACATACATGGTCTCTATATTTTTCCAGCTTCGTTTTGTAAATAAGGGGATATAATTTCCACCATGGCGTCGCATATTACAAGATTGGTGTGAAATATATGATAAACAAGGGACAAAATTACTACTCAGTTAAGTTTCTTAAGACAGTTCTTGTATTGGCCTACTTTGCATATGCAGCTGATGATATGCGGTTGAAGTGGGCTTCAAAAGAGAGGTATGACGTGAAATCAACTCCCGGGAATTTTTCACATCCAGGCGGCTTTCTTCTCGCATTTGGTAGTTTATTTCTTGCGTGTGTGTGTGTACTCTCCTAGTTGTGCTTGCGGGGATGAGCTTCGGCTCTTTGGTCCCGCCTTTCAACTGTCAATTAACCGGTGTACAGATTCCAGGGCGTATTGGGCTCAATGAAATCTTAATTTGAAACTGTGTGTTGGAGTCTGCCTCCACCACATCACTGCCTAATGCATTCCATTTGTTAACTACTCTGACACTAACAAAGTTCTTTCTAATGTCTTTGTGGCTCATTTGTTTACTCAATTTTCACCTTTGTCCCCTGTGTTAAATAAAGTATTGTAATTTTATCTACCATATCAACTCTTCTGAGAATCTGAGAATGTAAGTGGTGATCATGTCCCCCCTAATTCTACTCTATGTGTGTGTGTGTGTGTGTGTGTGTGTGTGTGTGTGGGAGGGGGGGGGGATGGATAGGGGGGGAAAGAATGGGTTGGAAAGGTTCTAAAACTGGATGGAATGTCGCTCATAAAACAGGACATTTTCGTGTCTCCAATTCTAAAACTCAATCTCACTTTGTTTGTGTATGTGCACCTACCAAGTTGTACCTGGAGAATCGTGCGTCAGCTCTTGGACCCCCTCATTTCCAACCGTCAGTCGTCTATGGGAATGACTCGTTATCTATGTATCAAATTGTACAAGTTTTCACAAATTTGAGTGTAGTTTGCTTCAATTATCCTCTCATTTAGTTAGTTTTATTTTCCAGCTACTAATGCTGAAGAATTTCTCTATCTCACATCTCTCTGTCTATCTCCGGCTTTCATCAATACCCTCTCGTACTATTGGTATTCTCTGTAAGAAATTTATGCTTTTCCACCCAGTCAGTTTCTCAAAGTTATTTTATGATCCTATTACGGTTTCTCTTTCTCTTCTCTCTGTTAGCGTCGTTAGGTCCCGCTCCTTCAGCCTTTTTTCGTAACCCTCCCCACGTAGTCTTAGGGCGAGCCTCGTTGAAAACTGCTGAACCTCTTCTTATTTATTTTTGTTTCTTTTGAGGTGGGAACTTCATGTCCAGGCTTCGTTTTGTAGGAATGGTCTGACGTAGATGGTCCATAGAGTTTATCTGGAGAATACATTGTGTAGATTCTGGTAGTTCTACTTTCCAAGCACGGCCTGGGGGCCAGGCTTGATTTGTAATAACTTGGTCCAACAGTTTGTTGTTTGGAGCTGCCCGTAGACTCATATATCCATTACAATCCACTTAATCAGGCTCTTCCTGTCGGAACATGTCTCTTTCCCCATGAACATCTACACTGTTGTTCCGGCAATATTTAAATGAGGTTATTGAAGGCTATTCAGGTGGTCACCAGTTTCAGAATTATCACTGAGGTAATCTTATTTATACATGCCTCTAGTGTAAGACTTAGTATTACACCAGCTCCTGTTTTTTTTCGTTTTTAATTCAGGAGGGTGGTTTTCTCTCAATAGAATTCTAATGACCGTTTCTTGCAACAGCTCTGCAATCCGTCTTGGACTTTCCCTGAGTATTCTGGAGGCTTTGTTACTCTATACTCTTCTCGTCGATTTATTGACACCGGTAAATATTGACTTGCAAGAGTCTTCCCCTATGGTAAGGTCATTTCCATAAACCAGGGATAGTACGACTTCTTAGATAAATCTTCAGGGGAGTTTCCTTCATTATTATTCTCTGCTTGCTACGTGTAAAGTCCTCGCGGTTTACGTTCTCATGCCTTTCTTTGTATATTAGTAATACATTACGTGTCCTCCAGCTAATGTTCAACTCACCCTTCGCCTTGGAAGCTTTACAAGAAGAAACTGGAAGTATATATAGTGCCTAAGCAGCGTATATCAGCATTCATAGTGATAGGTCTCATCTCTGGCGACCAATTGCCTCATTAAGTATCCTCCTCTGCTGTTATGTTAATGTTTTCTAGTCTCTGTTCTGGGATCACCACCTCACTTACCAGTGTCAGGTGTTTGGACTCGGTCGTAAATATCCGTTGAAAGTTTGCATTTTATTCATAGCATATTTCTTTGCTATTTGGTACTTGTTCTAATGTGGAAATTCAATGTCATTTTCATATTTATTTTTGATAATCCTGTGATATTTATGCTTTAATTTAGGTTCCTCTTTATTTATTTTGTTTTGTCTTTTTTTCACCTCGTTTCTCTAAATTTTCCTCAACATTCTGCTACTACATTTTGCATTTTGCCATCTTCCTGTGTGTTTGCGCGCGCGCGTGTGTGTATTCACCTAGTTGAATTGTGCTGAATTGAATTGTGAGTTGTGTGTGTGTGTGTGTGTGTGTGTACTCACCTATTTGTGCTTGCGGGGGTTGAGCTTTGGCTTTTTAGTCCCGCCTCTCAACCGTCAATGAACAAGTGTACAGGTTCCTGAGTCTTTTGGGCTTTATCATATCTACACTTGAAACTGTGTAAGGAGTCAGCCTCCACCACAGTGTGTGTGTGTGTGTGTGTGTGTGTGTGTGTGTGTGTGTGTGTGTGTGTGTGTGTGTGTGTGTGTGTGTGTGTGTGTGTGTGTGTGACTATCACAGCCATAAACACAGGAAGCAAAAGCTATGACTGCAATTCCTTCATTTTATTACGTGTCCAGACCGCCTCCCATTCCTCATACTTTCCCTTTCAAGCTCTCTTAACTTTACTTTTGATGCTGATCGAGTTTTTCTTTCTTATTTAACGGATTTATTTGATTTTCTTGGACATTCGTGATATTTTAAAATATTTTTTGTCAAACGACCGTAATGTTTTATTGTAACTGAATTAAACATGTTTACTATATGTAACTAAATATAATATGTTTTTAACAATTAAATGTATTTTGTTGCTGGTATCATTATTATTATCATTAATATAATTCGCTCAAGGAAATAATTAACGTGATTTATCAGTGATTAAAGCAGTAGGAGCCACGAAGGGGATTCGAACCGGCACTCTGGGTAATTCAGAGAACAAGCACTTTACCACTGTACCACAATATGCTACAAACGTAATGTAATCTGGGATTTAGCTGAATCCTCTAGGGTTCCTTGAGGTATTCACCTGATACTAAATCAGGGTTTTCACACATTACCAACGTACACGATGGTGTGGTTTAGCAGTTCTCCCTCCTGGTTTGTTGTTGTTTTAGATTCAGGCACTCGGAACAAAAAGTTCCAAGTAGCACGGGGTATGGTGAGCCCGTAGAGAACTTTCCTGGTTCAGAAGAGAGGCTATAAGGAGTTCTACCTCCTCAATGTTACGAGTATTTAGGAAGTTCGAATCTTCTACATAGCTCCTACTGTTTTTCTCATTATTATTATTATTATTATTATTATTATTATTACTATTATTAATTTTTATTTTTATTATATGTGTTATTAACTACACTTTGGATCATCGTTTATTAACACATTTCTTGTCTCCTCATCAGAAAATAGGCTTGGGTGAAGACCATGCCATACTCGCCGCTCGTAAGAATGCTGATCCCCTTCCTGAGTGCCGGTAAGGTTCACGCTCCTTCACTGTAAGTGCGAACGGTGACTCTTGCGCACCAAGCATTAAAAATAGAGCATCCGATCTTAACGGCATCATAAGATCGAAGCTTCTATTAGTTGAAAATAAAAGATTAAACAGAGGACGTATTACATGATTCAAGACTGATACGTTTGCGTTATAGAATCACCATTTTCTTATTGCACGTTAGTTAAATAATGCAGCATTAAATAGATAGACACGATTATAGATAAATAGCAAATAGTTGGATAGCAGATTAATGCATAGAGAAATAGATGTACATGTAAGTACCCATTTCCTACATTATAAAATAAATAATAGTAAATAAATTATATATATATATATATATATATATATATATATATATATATATATATATATATATATATATATATATATATATATATATATATATATATATATATATATATATATATATATATATAAATATATATATATGTATGCACGGACAAAACACAGAAAAATGGGAATGTTGAAACGTTTTCGGCTGGTCGAGCTTTTATCAACAACAGACTGACAATCAGATTATCAGTCTGTTGTTGATACAAGGGGAGGCCATGGTAGAGATATGTGTCAGTATCCAGTGATGTGTGGTGAGATCTGGGTCGGTGTAGTTACAGTGTGGCATGTTACTGGTGACTGTAATTTGACATTATCAACATGGCAGTAACTAATACAAAATCAAATTATGGAATCAATAACTGAACAAAGAAGACTGCAAATCTTGGAAGTCATATTTATCAAATAAAAAAAGACTTTTCTTTTTGAAGCAGGCGATGAGTCACAATAACGTGGCTAAAGTAAGTTGACCAGATCACACACTAGAAGGTGAAGGGATGACGACGTTTCAGTACGTCCTGGACCATTCTCAAGTCGAAACGTCGTCGTCCCTTCACCTTCTAGTGTGTGATCTGGTCAACCTTTTTTTTTAAATATGCAGAAAAACGACTTCGCTACCCTGCCGTCGCTCAGACCCAGATCTCATCGTACATTTCTGGGTAACGACGACATTTTTACCGAGGTGTCTGCCTGTCCACCAGGAGTATTAGGGCTTTATCCAACGTCTTATCCTATGTCTGGTTGGCGCTATCCCTTTACCTTTCGCTTATCCTTATCCCTTTACCCTACTCCTTCGAGCCCATCACCACACCCCATACTCCCTCGACCCTTGCCCAGGCGTATTTTACCCAATACTTCATTTATTCATTCTTGAAGATGTTCCAGAGAGGAACGAAACGTAGCAGCAAGAAAATCCTTCAATAATTACTAGAGTTTCTTTACCATAAATTGGGTAACTTTTTATTACCCCTCTAAATACTGATACTAAGCAAATGGAAGTATAGAAAGTTATACTCCCAGGTCCTGTATTACTAGGACAGGTCCTGTATTACTAGGACAGGTCCTGTCCTGTTGGTTCATAACTGGTGGGGTGTATAGATATGGATTGGTTCCCAGTCACTAACAAACCTTCCCGGATTTTGAATACCAGACACGTGTCTATCCGTTTTTTTCGTCTTTTCGTCATGTATCCTTTGTGCGTGTCATACCAGCCCATCGTCCTGTTTAGACAGTACAAGTAGTAACTATACGAGCCATCTTACATATATATTGACGTAATGGACAATTAGAAAGTAGAATTTGTAACCATTGAATTTGGACAAACATGAACAGGCTTTGTATTTATGTTGCTAATAAAACCTAACCTAACCATTCTAAGCCTAATACACGCTATCAGAGAACAAATATAGTACATATATGTACTATGCCAGGCCTAGGAATATTTTAAGTTTAATTTTTAGCTTTTTTTCTGGACCCTATAAAGTGAATAGTACGAAACTTACATATAATTGTCCATTACGTCAATATACGTATGATTGTCCAAATAGTTACTAAAATGTTCAATCTGAACAGGAGGATGGGTTGGTCATGCTCTATGTGCGGCGAATCATGTGTGCCGTGTTGTACTCACCTAGTTATAATCAACTAGTTTTGCATTAGGGGGTTGAGCTCTGGCTCTTTGGCCCCCTCCTCTCAACTGTCAATCTCAACTGTCAGTTAAATGTCTGTGTGAATGTGTGTTTAATTATATCAAATGACTAGGCCAACTTTATAACTCCAAGGCACATATTTACTTCTAGGAGAACAGAGGCATGAGGAGAAGAAAAGAAACGCTGCCAATTTCACTATTCTCCAGCCGGGATTTAAACCCAGGACTTACAGCTGAGAATTGCAGTCGTTCACCGCTTGACCATGGAACCGTTCAACCCCCCCCCCCCACTCTCTCTCTCTCTCACTCTCTATCTCTCTCTCTCTCAGGACAGAGCATAGCCGTCTCTGCAAGATTCCGCATTGATCCCATGTTCGTGCTGAGAGAGAGGGCGAAGGGTTGTGGAGTGGTAGAAAGATGTAAAGGGAATGTGAGAGAGAGAGAGAGAGAGAGAGAGAGAGAGAGAGAGAGAGAGAGAGAGAGAGAGAGAGAGAGAGAGAGAGAGAGAGAAAGATAGAGAGAGAGAGAGAGAGAGAGAGAGAGAGAGAGAGAGAGAGAGAGAGAGAGAGAGAGAGAGAGAGAGAGAGAGAGAGAGAGAGAGAGAGAGAGAGAGACAGAGACAGACAGACAGACAGACAGACAGACAGAGACAGATACAGAGACAGATACAGAGACAGACACACACACACACACACACACACACACACCACACACACACAACACACACACACACACAAAGACAGAGACAGAGAGAAAAAGTGAGAGAAGAGAGAGAGTGAGAAAGAGAGAGAAGAGAGAGAGTGTAGGAAGGATGGAAAGAGAAAGCGAGAGAAGGATAGAAAGAAGAAAGAGAGAGAGAGAGAGGTGGGAGGAGAGATTTATTGGTAGAGACAGAAATTAGAGAGAGAGAGAGTTTCCGAGTATGATTTGTTAAAGTGCACAAAATGCAGTATTCAACGGCATCACGCGCCATATTCTTGACTTGTAATTATATGTGTAATATTTATAAGAATGTGTCATACATATATGACTTTGCCATATACCAAGACGAGTCATATGACACAACTTGGTTCTTCTTGATTTAAATACATATTTTCTTTACCTTCTACTATAATTAGTCTGAATGAGAAAACAAATATTCACGGAAGCAGTTTGAATATAATGTGCCAAAGTGTGTCATATAACTGTCATGTGCCTGAGCCTGTCACGAATCTGTGTCTGCCTTGTGCCAGCAGCAGTCATTTACTACTTTCTGTCTCTCGTATATGTAAGTTCTTGTCATGTACTAGTTTATTCTATGTCTCAACTCCTGCCACGTACCAGTGTCACGTGCCAGTGTTTGTCATATGTCTTTTGTTGCCATCTGCCATGTGTCAATACATGTCAAGTACCGAGGCCACGTTTCACACAAGCCAACATGGCACCCGTCCGCTGACCCTCACAACTGAGTGCCAATGGAAAATTCGGTCTTTCTCACGCTATTTTGGCATTAGCCATTGTCTGAGGCACTGTTCTGGTCCTGACTCCTCCCTCCTACTACCCCCCTTCTCGACTCCCTCTTCACTGCACTCCCTCTCTCCCTCCCTCCCCCGTTCCTTTTTGCCAGAGTCTGCCAGTGAGTAAAGTTTATTGGCACTATTGACCTTCTACTGATCCCAGCTCAGGTGGAGTCGCCCTGATGATGGTGTTGGAGACACTTGTATTGTGTGTGTGTGGAGAGCGAGGAGAGACTTGGAGATTCAAGCCCGAAATATATTATAATAATATTGGTGCATGCAATGTAAAATTTTCCTTCGCATTATTTTATATATATATATATATATATATATATATATATATATATATATATATATATATATATATATATATATATATATATATATATATATATATATATTTAAATACGCGGTTCTTAAATTTATCTTATATATCTATTTTATCTTACATTTTATATCTAATATACGATTTGAACCTAATCGTATATTTAAATACGATTAGGTTCTTATATTCAATGAGTATTCACATTTGTGAAAAGTTTGTTGGTTATTTAAATTCAGAACATGTGTACGAGAAATTTATTTAGAAAAATGAGGATAACTTAAAAATATAATTTCTTGATTCACTGATCAGTAACATTGGGGATCACTTTACTGCCAAAGTTTATCGATAATCAACATTCTCTGGAGTTGGTATGAATGATTTGAGTCTGTCCTACAATAGTTATAATTAACTGTGATATAATTAAATAATCAGCGGCTATAAATATTTGTATAAAGTATATGTAGTTTTAATGTTGAGAAATATTGTTTTGCAAGATTTTATTGTTTTTTAATTAATGTTTATCCAAGTTAAGGAAAATAATTGACACTACTTCGAGAATATTTTGATATTATAAATTTTCACCTGAGAATCAAATTGTTTTTGTGTTCGAGAATATTATGTATGTAGAGTTTTTTCTGTTTATGGAGTGTCATTCATCACGTTCGTAAGTTCGAGTCTAATATACATAGTTTGTGTGCATGTGTGTAGAGTGTAGATCCCTGTCAGCTGTGATGGCACCTAGAGGCGATGGAACAAGAGCTCACTGGCCTTACTTCTCTATTAACATAATCTTGAAACATCTCTTTGATAAAGCCTAAGGAGCTTTTCTTCCTGGAACCAAGGGCTCAGTAATCCTATTGGAAAACTTTGTAATTGCCAATTTCATTATTTTTATTCGATTTATCTTTGAGATTTTTTTTCTCTCTCTTCTACTCTGTTGGTCTGCCTGTCTGTCTGTATATCGTCTCGTTTTCCCTGTCTGTCGTCTGCTTGCCTCTAATTAGACAGTCGGTTTTATTAGATAATGGACTTCGTGTGCTTGTCAGTCTCATTGTCAGCCGTATACTTCCTCCCACCACACTCTCTTCCCCCAACAGCCATAGTTGTGGTGTCAGTGGGAGATGCAGCTGAGAAGAGCTTGACCATAGCGGCCGGGGATCACAGCTCACCTCTCGGCCCTGCCCAGCCATATTTCGTCTACCACGAGTCTATCAACGTCACCGGAATGCTAGGAAAAACTGCCGTCCTCAACTGCCGGGTGAAAAACATTGGTAACAAGACGGTGAGGGAATTTGACATTAGTTTGGCCAGCATTTTTTCTACGTATTCAAGTAAATTTCTTGCCCATTGACTTAGATTAGATGAAAGAGTCACGGTCCTGTTTCTTGCAGGGTCGACGCTCGATCACCGATGATCCAAGTGGTTGGGTAAGGTTTTTTCGTTCTATCCTCTTTTCAAGCTCCATGTTTTCAGGCCCATTTCAAGTGCTATATGTAATTATCTTACGAAGTGCTCATTGTTTTATTATCATTCAAAGAAATCTAAACTAATTTCTTTGAATCGTCCAAATATTATTATGATTTTAAATCATATTCTGTGCCGGTTGTAAACTATGTATTAAAACATGGAGTTCGAAGTTTGATTTAGACACTAGTTTCATCCTGTCTAGACATGGGCTGGATAAACAGGTATATATAAGCAAATTTATATATTTTTAAGTAATCTTTCTTTTAACAATAACATGTTCTCTATATCTGCGATTTTCTCTCCGTTTATTTTTCTATTTCTTCACACTCACAGGTGAATAAGAGGGAGGTAATGGGGACGAGGGTGGGGGAACTGATTTAGTGGGAAGAGAAAGGTAACATAGAGAAGTGGGTAAGTGAGGAAGGCATCACAATATCAGCTGCATTTACATTCCCCATCATCACTATTCCCATGGATCTTTATCCATCTTCATTCTTAACATCTCAAGTCATTACTAACTCATCAATGACAATCCCAAACATGTCTAAGAATAATAATTTCCGACATCAGTCATTACCATCCCTAACATCTCTAACCATTACAACCTCCAACAAATCCATCCGTCACCATTACTAGGATCTCCAATCACCATCATCATTAAGGCCAACCATCATCAATCCCAACATCTTCATCCATCACAATCCCCAACATCATCATCATATTTACCACAATCATCTCCATCTATCACTTCCACGATCCCCTTCATGTCTATTATTTCTGCCATCCCCTATATATATATAATATATATATATATATATATATATATATATATATATATATATATATATATATATATATATATAAATAAATATATATATATATATATATATAATATATATATATATATATATATATATATATATATATATATATATATATATATATATATATTATGGGGTACCACCTCTGGTGCAATTGCAGGGACCCACATCCTCGAAGAAGAAAACAAAGAGCATTCAGAGAAGATCTTGTGGATTCCCACTGAATACTTTATTCTTTTCTTCTCCTACCACCCCTATTATTTTTTGTATGTTATATATATATATTATATATATCTATATATATATATATATAAATATATATATATATATATATATATATATATATATATATATATATAAATATATATATATATATATAAAATGCATAATAAAATGCATCCATCAAATGCATAATAAAGCACAAAAAATATTCAAGGAAGGGGTGGTAGGAGAAAAGCACACAGAAACTGTATTGGAGGGGATCTAAACATTCCCTCTAATGCGTTATGCGTGGTTTCCTCCGAGGCTATGGGTCCCCCTTCTTCCAGCTAGAGGTGGTACTCCCTTCCTTTTGTTTATATATATATATATATATATATATATATATATATATACATATATATATATATATATATATATATATATATATATATATATATATATATATATATATATATATATATATATACATAAGGCAATACCTCATATCTCCCTATCTGGAGAGGTATGTCTGTCTGTCTCTTTCTGTCTCTCGTCTTGCGCGCTCTCTCTCTCTCTCTCTCTCTCTCTCTCTCTCTCTCTCTCTCTCTCTCTCTCTCTCTCTCTCTCTCTCTCTCTCTCTCTCTCTCTATCTATCTCTCTCTCTCTCTCTCTGTAAACTAGCAATAATAACACCTGTTATATGGCGCACACAAACCCAGAGAAACACGCTAATTATATTTCTGACGACAAAGAGACGAGACTAATTTGCCTGCTTCCCCTCTGTCTTCTGCCGACGACAGCAATCATTACGGCGGAAATATGACTCCACTGGATCTTGCTGGACGACACTGGGTTGACAGATCCTGTTAGTTACGAGTGTATTAATAATTAGCTATTACAATATGCGGAAATAATTGGCTATTACACTATGCTGAAGTGAAGTGGCATCTCCACCACTCGCTATTTAGTGTGGAAATTGATCGCAGAGATTGCACCGAAGGCCTGATAATACTTGGAAACGTGATTAACATTGCAAAATCAGTTGTCTCAGTATTAAAACAATTATGCTAAGTTTATCTCTTTAAGTGAAAAATGAGTAACAACACATTAGTAACAATGATAAATCCCATGACTTGTACAATAAATCGCATACAATATTAAAAAAAAATCAGCAATGAACATACAAAATTATTTTTAATGACACTTCTGTTAGAAATAAAAACAAATATTACCATTGTCTATGTTTAACAGCGTAGTTTCTCCCGTAAATATCATAACTATTTTAGATAAGGCTGATCGGATGCCGACTGGAAGACAAGGGATGAAACATTACCGAGAATAATTATTGTCTATCAACATCATGGCTTATTCTGGAGTAAAACCGTGAATAGCACTGGAAGCGGATCTCTGGATGGCCATCTGGGTCATTTGCGATGATAAATGATGAAAAATTAACCTGAATTACAGTGCATTGTGTCTTGGATTAATAGTGCCAATGGTTAATGATGAAGAATTCATGATGCCTCTTATATTACAGTACGAGAGAGAGAGAGAGAGAGAGAGAGAGAGAGAGAGAGAGAGAGAGAGAGAGAGAGAGAGAGAGAGAGAGAGAGAGAGAGAGAGAGAGAGAGAGAGAGAGAGAGAGAGAGAATCATTGCTGTTCGAGAACTGCGCTAATGTTAATGTTGTTTTCGGCACTTGAATGTGAGATAAATCAATGATCCTGGCACCGAGTTGATAACATGAGTGTTATCATTAATTCAGAATATTTTTGATACGAGATATTTTACTCAATAATATTCTATTTTTTTAATGGTGGTATATATTTTTCACAGGCAATTAATGTAATTGCTTTTGGCCTCTCAAGTAACAGAGTTGTGTACGCTTTTTTGGGAGAATGGGAGATAGATTGGAAACAAGAATTCGATACAATGGATACAAATGGGATAAGTTTTGACTCGGTAAAGACCGGGGTAAATACTGGATTTTAAAATAGTTTTGAAATTTATGGAGCAAATTACCGTGTAACATGATGAACGTGGGACACTTGGATATTCTTAAGCGAAGGTTAGACATGTATACGACTTTGGTTGGATATGAATTGAAGTTGCAACTCAATTGCCAGTAGTTCTTCTGTAGTTTTCTTTACTCCTATTTTTATATCATAATGTTTATATAACGCTGTTGTAGTTTTTATTTTACAAAGGAATTACTGTTCAAAAGCTTTGGTATTGCAGCAGAATGGTTTACATCTCGCTTGTAGTTGTAGTAGGATTTAGTTTTATATAAATGTAGTTATATAACATAACTACATACCTTTTTGCTATATTTTTATGTAAAATTGCTGCAGTAATTTGCTGTAGGTCAGTAATTGTAGACACTGTAGCTACCTGATCTAGAGTTTTGGTTGAAGATTGCTCGTGAAAGCGGGTTTAATTAATTTGATGCTGAACTGTAATTGCTGCTATTAATTATTTTAATTTGCTTTTGCTACTTGCTAGTGGTCTGTGGTTTGTACTATTGTTGAAGCGAGGCTCTAGTTTCTTTGCTCTGAATCTGTTCCTGATTCTGTTGCTGTAATGTGTCTGTAGTTACTTGATGTGGGGTTGTTGATACTGTGGGATTGCAAAAGTGGTTTACATGTCCAACCCGTCTAATTTTGTCTAAACCACTCTGTATCCAATACTGTTACATAGCAAAAGACTAAAACTAGGAACGTGAAGTGTCTGATGTGTTGAATACAATATTAATTCGTTTTAGTTTCGACATCTAAACATTTATTTACATGGACAAGCTCTGGAGCGAACGCTTCTTTATTGTTTCTCTTTTTTAATATGCTCTCGTTATTCCTTCTCTTTAAAATCGTCATAGTCACTATTATTCTAATTTCCTGTTCCATTTTATTTCACGGTATTTTTTTCCCTTTAGAAAAATACACTTCTCATTGTTATTATTTAGTGTTACGAGTTTTTTGATGGGCTGTGGCGCAGTCGGTTCACAGCCCATTGGACCCGGGTTCGATTCCCGGCTTGGGAAGGGGGAGGGGGTTGAAAACGTTTGGGAACGTTTCCTGACGTTTGATGCCTCTGTTCACCTAACTTTAAATAGGCACCCGTGAGTGAGGGGACCGTTGTAGGTTACATCGTGGGTAAGATCAATCGTTGACCAAAGTTGAACTCGATAACTCTAACAGCCATTTTGTTACCGAAAAATGGCAAAATTGGAAACTATATGTCTTCCTGTTTGTCCCCCCTCTGCCTCTGGATGGGTAATCTGTTGCCTCCTGCCAGCAGGTGTCGTTGAAGTATTCCCTCTTGCCCCCTGCTAGCAGGCGTCGTTGATGTATCTCCAGCTGACCCCTGCTAGCAGGTTTCGTAAATGTATCACGTAGGAATATGTAAGATTCACCGGCCTTGTGTTGCCCCCTAGGTGTCGTGGATTCGGCACAGGGACATTCACCTGCTGACAGTAGGCGGGTTCACCTACACCTCGGACGCAAGGTTCTCAGCCCGCCACGTAGAAGGTTCTGAGGATTGGCTGCTTCTCGTCCACTACCTTCAGGAGAGAGATGCTGGCCAGTACGCGTGTCAGATCTCCACCACGCCTCCTCACAGCCATTTTGTCCACTTGACAGTAGTTGGTAAGCGTTCCAGACTTCAAAGAGGATTAAATACTAAATATTTTATCTTTCCTTCACCTGATAAGTTTTGTTAACAAACAGGTAAGTGTTGTCACGTACTCTGTTACCTCTCTCCCACACGCGTGTCTGTCTATTGACAAGGAGAGGTTGGAGGATGCTCATGTTCATGGTTACGTGAATCTTACTCCCAGCTACAGCTGAGGGGTAAATATCTTCCACTTTAAGTGGTGCTCAAGTAGATATACACTACATGTATAATGTAAATCAGGGAATGCTTGCTTTCGTTTAAGGTTTCACTTACAGCTTAAATATTTGGAATGAATTCTGGCACGTGGCTGTTAAAGTCTATGTACGATTACCTTTTCTTGGTGACTTGGCAATGTGTACAAATATTTTTAGTAAATATCCCGAGGAGTTAGTTCTGTGTTTATAGTCACTTGGAGTATAAACAAATTTTGCCACATGCATGGTGAGGTAAATGTTCCATTATATTTTCAAAAGGCACTATCATGTTTCAATGGGGAAACAGAGAACGTTTACTTTCCTTTTGTGCTTTTGCAGAACCCGAGACAGTGATCGAAGGGCCAGCTGATGTTTACATAAACACGGGAAGTCGACTGTCTCTCACCTGCAGCGTGAGGTACAGTCCTGAACCCCCTGCCTTCATCTTCTGGTACCATGATGACAAGGTGTGTCTTAATCTGTCTTAATCTCTCTCTCTCTCTCTCTCTCTCTCTCTCTCTCTCTCTCTCTCTCTCTCTCTCTCTCTCTCTCTCTCTCTCTCTCTCTCTCTCTCTCTCTCTCTTATAATCCTCAAATATCATTTTCAATGTCCTTCTGCTTTAATGTTTTTTGTTCCTCAGCTCGTGCCCTACGGCAAGGGTCGTGACGAAGTAGTTGTATCAACGGAAGGTGGGCGAGGGGACGAGGTGGGTGTGGTCAGCACTTCGCAATTGCTGGTTCAGGTGGTGAAGCAGCGTCACTCAGGTGTGTACAGGTGTGCCCCTGCCAGCTCCAACAGTAAGGAGGTCACTGTACATGTTATTGCTGGTAAGTTGCATCAGACTTTTGTATGTGTGTGTTTTCTGATGGCTTTTCTGTCTGTCTATCTGCCTATATTTATGTCTCGTTTTAACTGTTTGTCCGTTGCTAAATTCTGTGTACTCCTCTGTTTGTTTCATCATTTCTTTAAACACTCTAGGCTCGCTCCGGATATGAATACGTGTGTACAACTCTCGTATGGTCACCTGGCCAATTTGATAACAGTAAGCTCGAATAACCCATCAGAGGACTCGAACCTAGGCGACTAGGGTCATCCCACTGGCTGACCAGTACCGTAACCACTAAACCAGCGATTGCCTAAAATTGGTAAGAAAGTCGTGACACACACACACACATAAATACCTTTCAACACTCGATACTCATTCTAGGCATAGTTATTCATGTGGAGACCATTCAAGTTTTGCTCTCTCTCACACCACACACACACACACACACACACACACACACACACACACACACACACACACACACACACACACACACACACACACACACACACACACATTGTGCAATCCTACCATGTTCCTGGACTTGAAGAAATAACTGTGCCCAAAATGTGCCACGAGTGTTATTTGTCGTGACACACAAACCCACGGCCCGTTTATATGTGTGTCACGACTTTCCGACACATTTTAGACAATCTCTTGTGTAGTGGTTACAGTACTGGTCACCTAGTGAGATGACCTCGAAAGCTTAGGTTCGAATCCTTCAGCGGATGTCATTAAGAGTATATATTTATATAAAGCTAAAGATAAAAGCAGAATCATCCTTGGCAAAGAGAAAAAGTCAACCAAATAGGCAGACACAATGACAAACAGGCGAGCAAATATAGCTTACACATCAAGATCTGGGAGAATTTTCCCCTCGGATAATGAGAATTGTCTTTGTGTCCCTCGAGGGAAAAGGGGAAGCATATGCCCAACGTTTCTCACTGTTTGCTGAGTACATAGTGACGATGCCAAGTCTTGATCTCTTGTTTCTTCTTTTCTTTGCCTTTGTGTCTTTCAATTTTTCCTTTGTTTCTGCCTGCCTTTATTTGACTTCCTGACATTCTCTCTCTCTCTCTCTCTCTCTCTCTCTCTCTCTCTCTCTCTCTCTCTCTCTCTCTCTCTCTCTCTCTCTCTCTTTCTCTCTCTCTCTCTCTTCCATCTTTCATTCACTCCACACCTTTGCTTTCGTGTTCCCTCCTTCTTCCTCGTGAATGCATCACTCCCTCCCTCTCTCCCTGTTTCCTTCAATGCTTCCCTCCCTTCCTCATCTCCTCCTACAAGTTATAATAAATTCTTCACCGACACTCCTCCCTTATTCACTTCCCAGAGGAAATGTTTACATTATTTTCATAAAACATCTTGAAGCGTAGTAACTACAATGATCACAGTAACCTTTACTGAGGAAGCACCTATACTGACTGTCTGCTTTACTGCTTTAAAACAGAGTATCTAAACTCACCTAATTTTCTTTATTTTTTCAGTAAAAATTATCCACCTATCTTATTTTCTCTAAGTTTTTTTTCAGAGAAAAGTATCTGCAGTGAAATAATTTTCTCTATTCGTTTAGGTTAGTTTAGTTCATTTATTATGCACCCCGTGTCCATCCAGTGGGCAGTAGTTCACCATATACGTATCCAGTGGCCAGTAGTGGATCCCATACTAATCCACTGGGTGGTAGTGGACCCTATTCCCCTATTGTGGGTGGTGGTAGACCCAATACCCATCCTGTGGATGGTAGTGGACCCTATACCTATCCTGTGGGTGGTAGTGTACCCTATACCTATCATGTGGGTGGTAGTGGAGACCTATACCCATCCTGTGGGTGGTAGTGGACCCTATACCCATCCTGTGGGTGGTAGTGGACCTTATACCCATCCAGAAGCACCTAAATGACTCAGGAATTGAACCTCAAAATCCATCTAGCTAAGATAAGCTACTTACTCAATTCAATATACATCTATAGAAGAGTTAAGAATGACCTGCAGTGCAGTCTTCAAGCTACGCAAGTTACATTTGCGGTGAGTTTGTTTCATCATTTGATTTGCTTGTCGTGCACTCTAGGAGAAAATAATGTACCTAATCCTGTTTTCTTCATGCCTGGCAGGAGACCAGCCGGCAGCCATCGTCCACGATAACAACGGCTTAGCTGAAAACAGCGGTGTGACGGACCTCAATACCCATTGTGTTTACTTCCTTTTAGGCAGTCTTAATTACTTACTCATGCGCCTGTCCTAACCTAAATTTGTGTAACCTTGCCCACCCGATCCTAGTCTATCCTGGCCTAACATAAATCAATATATCTTAGTCTAGTTGAGAGTGGACTAGCCTCTACGTAGCAGAGTTGAATTTCAACTAGCCATGTTCTGGTGTAGGAAGTGTAGCGTGTAAATGCATATATCTAAACTAGATTAGTATATAACATAACGTAGTTAATCTGTCTTGTCATAAATATATCCTAACCTAACTTATATTTAATGTACATGGTTTTAGAGTAATGAACCTTACATTATATTCTACATCGGATTTCCAATCTTAAAGATGGTTTGAGATTATATATATATATATATATATATATATATATATATATATATATATATATATATATATATATATATATATATATATATATATATATGACGTTTCGAATATCATTCGTATTTATCTATTTATCACGAAAACTAAAATATAAAGTTGAAAGCTAAACAGCAAACCAAGGCACTCATACTGAACAAGCTTCAAGAAAAATTATTAAAAGACACATTACAATAACAGAACAAAACACAAAACTCTACTTACGTAAAGACGTCAAAGGAAGATTTGCTAAAATATTGCATCAACAACAAAGACTAATTAAAAATTATAATTATTTCCGAAAAGATTGAAAACACTTATACAATTTAAAAAACTACAACAAATTACAGATTACTAATTACACAGAATATAAAATACGTTTATTAAATAATAACAAATAATGTACTCAGTATCTCAATTAGGCAGATGAAATTATAAGACCAGTTGTCACTCAAAGTGAGCACCGAAGATATAATGAAGGGAAACTAAAACAATTATATCTGCCTAATTGAGATACTGATTATAATGTTTGCTGTATACTACTTAGTGGTGGCCATAATAACCCTCCCGTGACTGATAGTTCTTAAGCCCAACACCAAAAAACTAACCTAATCTTGACTGATCAAATAGATGCAAATATTAATTTGCCTCATCTAATCGATTTTATCTGGAGTTGAAATTTATGTCTCACAACCTCCGGAGGGTAATTGAATGGTAGACGATTTAATAATTCACCACAATATCTTTCTGAAGTCCGAAACATAGCACAGAAGGATATTTCTAAATAAACCTAACTTAACCAAAGTTATTGTCAGAATTTCTGACAATACTAACCCAACATCATATCAACATACATTCCCTAACATAATCTACCCTAACCAAACTTATCGTCAACATATCTGCCCTAACCTATCCAGTCTTTTAGTCAACATTACTGACCTAAATTAACCTAGCCGCTTAACCTAAATTAACTAGACCAAAACTAACATAACCTAACCTAACCCGACCTAACGTCACCCTTCCTAGATTAACTAAACACAGCTCGGCTTCTAGAACGAGTCCCCTGAGTATAGTGTTGACTGATATCATACTCCCCAGCTTATGGATAATGGAAGGATATACAGATAGCGAAGGAAAGCGGGTTAATGAGGATTTGCGGTTAGCAAAGATATGCGATTAGCGGAGAGTAATTGAATAACAAATATGTAAATAAGGGATAATATAGTAGATAGAAAATGTTTGCCCGTAGTAACAAGATATTCTAATTGTGCGGATATCAAAAAATGTGGGTAGGGAGGATATGCAGATAGCAAGGGATTTAGAAGCATTGAAGCATAATGATCGAGGTTGAAACGAGGACCATGGAAATGTAATCTGGAGCTACAGACAGCATAGATACGAACTAGGAAGCAGTCTATTCAGTTATGGACGTACGATTACACACCCTCTTACTGAACTTGCCGCGATGAGGTAAAAGGACTCAACTGAAATTGGAATTGCAGACACGAAAAAAAAATCGTAGCTAGAACTAAACTTTTTGCCACGAATTAAAATTATGCACCAGGAACAGGAGGTGAAACCACACGAGCAAGAATGAGTATCAGTTCTTCAAGAAAATGTTACTAGACTTCCATGTCTGTGGATAAGAAGCCATGGACTAAAATATCTACCAAAAACTACTCTTCCAGCAACGAACTTGAACTACATTCATCGTGTATAAGCAAGACGATCTTTGGATCAAGAATGACGTCAGAGCTCAAACGACTCAGACGGTTAATGGTTTCCATTAAACTCCATGAGCAAATCAAATATTTGCAGGACAGGAACATGTCACCAGCGTAAATAAATTAGGATCGCCGCAGAATCTCATAACGCCTTTTCCACGACCCCCAACGAACATCAGAATGTCTTGTGACGTCAAGAAAACAAATAAATGAGCATCGTTGTCTTGAAATTACCCCCTGTCTGATATGGTTCTTTTGCGATTTACAAAGATCTATCCCCAGACCAATATATTCAATAATACTTTTATAAAGGAGAATACAATTTAGTTTTAGGTGTATAATATAATGTTAATAAATAATTATAGGGATTGTATTCATAATTAAGAAACTAAATGGAGAAGTGTAATGCAGAACTCATTTACATAATAAAACTTTTCTGTGTTACATCTTAAAGAAACTATTTTATGAATAGGAAATTAGGTGATAAAGATGGAAATCTAAATCCTTCCCCTGAAGCCCGAAGGTTTGCGGAGCTGGTGAGCTCAGACGATGACTAATGGTGATGATGGTGGTGGTGATGGTGGTGGTGGTTGTGAATATGGTGGTGGTGGGCCTTACCTATCAGTCCCTCCCTATTAATGATTACTGGGAGGTGAGTTTTAACTCTTTATTCCCCGTGTATTAGCTTTGTTGTACCTGAGACGTTATGTTTTAACTATTCTGACGTTCAAATTCTTTGTCGATTCTAGCCTTAAAGATGTGGATGGCTTCCACAACATCCTTCAATACATTCCACTTATTGATTACCCGAATTGGGAACGCCTGTTTCCTGACATTCCTTCGGCTTATTTGTGTTTTCATTTTCTACTTGTGTCTACTAGTCCTACTTTCTCTCAAATTGAAAAGGTTGTCTCTTTTCACTTTGTCTATTCCCCCTGTATGTCGTGATCATTGTCTATCTGTTTATTATATGCAAACGTTGTCACAATAACGAGGCAAAAAAGTTGATAATGGTCTAGGACAGACCGAAACGTCGTCGGTTCTTCATTTTCGGATTTTTGCGTTAGGTGTTTCTTCTATTTTCTAGGCTGTGAGATTTAGTTTCATTATCCTATCTTCATACCTTAACCCTCGGAGCTCTGGTACCAATCTTGTGGCCAACCTCTGTACTTTTTCAGTGTTTTATGCTTCACAGCGCACGGTCTCAATGCCTTTGCGGCAAATTACAGTATTAGTCTAACAAATGCTGAGTAGATTGCCTTGAAGGAGTCGTGATTTAGGTTTCTAACAAAAAATCTTATGTTTACCACCATCCCATATGCTGCCGATGTAATCTTGTTTATGTGTAACTCCAGTTTGTTGTTGGAATTATATCCATTATCAAATCTTACTCTCTTTCAGAGTCTTGTACTTGCCTTTCCCTATGGTGAAGCTACCTTCTGATCTCCTTTCTCCCTTTGCCATCTTCGTTACATTACATTGTTGGGAGTGAATGACAGCAACCATTTGTTTGCCCTCTCTTGGAATTAGTCGAGGTCTTCCTGTAACTTCCTACAATCTTCATCTTTAGGCAACATTCCTCATCAGCTTTGCGTCGTATGTAAACATTGATACGTAGGAGTTCACTCCCTCGGGTAGGTCGTTCACATTAAGGAGGAAGAGTTGTAGTTCCAGGACCGAGCCTTCGGGATCTTACATGTTACATTCCTTCAACTTGAAACCTTCTCTGAGTGACGTTCAGAGAGAGACGATTACCCAGTTCAGTCTTTTTCCCATGTAATCGTGGCCTACTTCTCCAGCTTGTAGACCAGCCTTTCATGAAGAACAGTGTTCAAAGGCTCTTTGCCAATCTTGGAAATTTCAGTATGTCCAGCCAACTTTTTCCTGTCTTATTTTATTAATCCTGTTAATAAACTCAGTCAAGTTTGTTAGACATGACTTTCCCCTGTTCTAAATCAATGCTTGTCTTTCGTTACATAGTTGTAACGCAGTCATCTCTCCGGATGCTGCGTCATTCTTGACCTGATTACTTTCTCCAGCACTTTACGTGGAATACTTGTCAGTGATACTGGTCAGTAATTTAGTTCCTCCCGTCTGTCCCCCTATTTTAATAATGTGACTACGCCTGCCTTTTCCCAGAATTATAATGGTGATGGTAGGCTGGTAGGGGTGGTGAAGGAGATGGTTAAGGTTGAAGTGATGGTTGTGACGAAGATAGTGTTTGTGGTGGTTGTGGTGGAGGTTTTGATGAATGGTGGCGGTGGGTGTTGTAGTGGTGGTTGTTGTTGTTGGGGGGGGGGGAGGTTAAGGTGTGGGATTGGAGCTGGTGTTGGTAACGACGATGTTTGTGATGATGGTGTTAGTAATAATGATGGTGATTAAGGCTAACTAAGGGCTCAACACTCAAGAGCAACCAGTTTCCTGTTCCAGCGCCTCAGTGTCGCAATCCAGAGACAGCAAGACGAAATTCTTGCTGTATCTTCAGCACGCGCCCTACCACCGAAGAGCTGAATAAAGTCTTCAAACAGTGATTGTTAAGTGTGTGTGAATTTTCTGTAAACGGTAACACAGTGTAACCAGTTAATAAATAAATAAATCATATTGTATAAAATAAAAAAAATAGGGTTGGCGGAGAAGAAATTATTAAAATGTTTAGTGAGAATCCACAAGGTCGTCTCTGAATACTCTTTATTCTCTTCGCTAAGGTTAAGGTTCATATATATATATATATATATATATATATATATATATATATATATATATATATATATATAAATAATGATATATATAATAATATATATAATAAAAGTAGATTGTAACATCTATATATTTAAGTTAATAATATCTGTATTTGAATTGAAATGATTGTTGTAATCACTTTATTATTTGTTACGGTGAAGTCATGTTAAATATTTTTATAAAATAAACGTGAGTGTATTTCCAAAACTTTTCTTGCACACCATAAAAATTATTTCTCAATCAAGGACAAATATACTGATATATATATCAATAAATAATATTAAATA